GTGCTGTTTACTCTTCAGTATAGCTCCTTTCTTCTTTTAATCATGCTCATTACATATATTCATAAGAATGCAATATATGTAGCTTATTCCTTTACATAACTGCCTCAGAAATCTTTCTATTTAATTTGAGGCTGACAAAATACATTTATACCATAAAATATTAAGGCACAACAGTTTCAAGGTAATCTCCATATTTTAAGTGAAAAGATCTATCAATGACAACATAATATTATTTCAGTTCAACCACAAGTAATTTTCTTCTGTACTATATTGCTAGATTATTATTTATACAGAAGTATAAGTACATGATAAGGACCATCTATTTAAATAGGCAATCATCAAAGTGTATAAGCAGCAAATAATAGTGTATTTATGCCATGACAAAAAATAAGCAGATGGAAGCATGGGGTATATTTTAATTTATAATATGTTGCAGCTCTAACTTTTAGAATCTGCCACCTAGAAAAAGGCTAAACAAAATAGATAAAATTAGAAAGCGTAGCACTATAACATTAAGCGATCAGCAATAAATCAAAATAAGGGTCATTTTCATAAAAATATGTAAACAAAATTACCTATAAAATATATCACAGATTTGTGCCTAACATCTTGTGGCTTGTATGGTGCTGACTGTTGTAAAACTTGCTTTGGATGAAGAAATGAATGCATGATCAACTTTCTCTCTCATATAAATATGGCCACATCTAAGTTATTCTACTAAGTTTCTTTACCAAATGCACTTCTGGGGAAAAAATGGAACAAAATCCAGACAAAAAAAATATTTTAACTGCTTTTTTGATGTCTGTTTTCTTTTTTCTTTTCCCAAGACAAGGGTCACACAAAGCATAGGAAGCATAGTACATAAAATCATCTGCTACAGTGTCCTACCAGCCAATGAATACTTCAGCTTCAACCAAAACAATACAAGAGCACACAATAGATACAAACTCATGGTAAACCAATCCAAACTAGACTGCAGAAAATACAACTTCGGTAACAGAGTTGTCAACGCCTGGAATGCACTACCTGACTCTGGTTTCTTCCCCAAATCCTCAAAACTTTAACCTTAGACTGTCTACTGTAGATCTCACCCCATTCCTAAGAGGTCTGTAAGGGGCGTGCATAAGCACACCAGTGTGCCTACCGTACCTGTCCTAATGTTTTCTTTTATTTGTATCCTTTTAATGTATTTATAATTATGTTTACACTTGTATCTGTCATAAAATACATGCTTGATGAAAATAAATAAAATAAATAAAATAAACAAAAGCTAGGAATTCTTTATCTTAGAAGAGAATATATACAGGTGAAACTCAAAAAATTAGAATATCGTGCAAAAGTTCATTTATTTCAGTAATGCAACTTAAAAGGTGAACCTAATATATGAGATAGACTCATTACATGCAAAGCGAGATAGTTCAAGCCTTGATTTGTCATACTTTTGATGATTATGGCTTACAGCTCATGAAAACCCCAAATTCACAATCTCAGAAAATTAGAATATTACATGAAATCAATAAAACAAGGATTGTACATAGAACAATATCGGACCTCTGAAAAGTATAAGCATACATATGTACTCAGTACTTGGTTTGGGTCCCTTTTGCATCAATTACTGCCTCAATGTGGCGTGGCATGGATGCTATCAGCCTGTGGCACTGCTGAAGTGTTATGGAAGACCAGGATGCTTCAATAGCAGCCTTCAGCTCTTCTGTATTGTTCGGTCTCATGTCTCTCATCTTTCTTTTGGCAATGCCCCATAGATTCTCTATGGGGTTCAGGTCAGGCGGGTTTGCTGGCCAATCAAGCACAGTAATCCCATGGTCATTGAACCAGGTTTTGGTACTTTTGGCAGTGTGGGCAGGTGCCAAGTCCTGCTGGAAAATGAAGTCAGCATCCCCATAAAGCTCATCTACGGAAGGAAGCATGAAGTGCTCCAAAATCTCCTGATAGACGGCTGCATTGACCCTGGACTTAATGAAGCACAGTGGACTAACACCAGCAGATGACATGGCTCCCCAAATCAACACAGACTGTGGAAACTTCACACTGAACTTCAAGCATCTTGCAGTGTGTGCCTCTCCATTCTTCCTCCAGACTCTGGGTCCTTGGTTTCCAAATGAGATGCAAAAGTTGCTCTCATCAGAAAAGAGGACTTTGGACCACTGAGCAACAGACCAGTTCTTTTTGTCTTTAGCCCAGGTAAGACGCTTCTGATGTTGTTTGTTATTCAGGAGTGGCTTGATAAGAGGAATACGACATTTGAAGCCCATGTTCAGGATCCGTCTGTGTGTGGTGGCTCTTGATGCACTGATTCCAGCCTCAGTCCACTCCTTGTGAAAGTCCCCAACATTTTTGAATGGCCTTTTCCTGACAATCCTCTCCAGGCTGCAGTCATCCCTGCTGCTTGTGCACCTTTTTCTTCCACACGTTTCCCTTCCACATAACTTTATATTAATGTGCTTTGATACAGCACTTTGGGAACATCCAACTTCTTTTGCAATTACCTTTTGAGGCTTTCCCTCCTTATGGAGGGTGTCAATGATGGTTTTCTGCACAACTGTCAGGTCAGCAGTCTTTCCCATGATTGTGATTCCTACTGAACCAGACTGAGAGACCATTTAAAGGCTCAGGAACCCTTTGCAGGTATTATGGCTTAATTAGCTGATCAGAGTGGGACACTTTGAGCCTAGAATATTGAACCTTTTCACAATATTCTAATTTTCTGAGATTGTGAATTTGGGGTTTTCATGAGCTGTAAGCCATAATCATCAAAAGTATGACAAATCAAGGCTTGAACTATCTCGCTTTGCATATAACGAGTCTATCTCATATATTAGGTTCACCTTTTAAGTTGCATTACTGAAATAAATGAACTTTTACACAATATTCTAATTTTTTGAGTTTCACCTGTATATATATATGTAGCTCACGGTTGAACTGTGAGGTACTTGATGTTCTCTGAGTTTGGTGGATTTCTTGAAGGTGTTTCCTTACCAAATTAGATAACGGTATCAGTGTTGCAGCACAGATGATGTTACCTAGTTAGGTAAAGAAATGTCTGAAAGAAAAGCATCAAGCTCAGAAAGCACCAAGGGCCCCATAATTCTTCACCATTGAAGAATAGTGCGCCATTGACTCCTTTGAGAGTGTAGTGACATCTCCAGACCTCTTCTCGAAAAATAAATCAATAAATGCATAAGATGTATAAGGACTCCTAGTTAAGAACCTTTGTCTTAGTCAGATGGAAAATATAGGTCTTGCAGATGGAAAATGATCTATAAATGCCCCAAGATATAATGTGATATCTCTCCTAGAAATAATTCAGCTGGGCAGCCACTTCAGACATTTAGGGGATAGTTTTTTTCTGACATATAGCTAGTATCAGGTAAATACCTTTGCATGATTTGGTGAAAGTTTGGATGAGTAGGGGTCTGTGCAGATCAGAAAAGTCTGCTTAAAACATAGACCTAACATTTGCCATTTCTTTCTCTACTAAGTAAGAATGCTTAGGATTAAACTGTTTACAAAACATGACAGCCATGAATAATTGGGATCTTGTACAGTGGTCTTATGTGATGTTCTAAATATAGATGGTACCTTTTCATCAAGGACTTTCAATGCCTGAATTAATTTTGCTAAACTCTTGTATTGGTAGGTCGTCTTTAACAGGAAAGAACATATGAAAGATGCCTCTTCAATTGTCACTGGCAAAAAAAAGCCCTCCACTTTTTCTGACTCTCTGTGTTTTCTATCTCATCCCAATATTTCTGTTAAGAATTGGCAGACTGGATTAACTGAAGGTCCATACATTTTTCCAAGAATAGCAAGAAATAAAGAAGTTACTGTTTGATGCTGCAGTATCTGAGAATTGAAAATGCATGAAAATGCATTCTAGAACTTTGAAGGCTCATTTGCAGCTATCACAAATGATCATTATTCACCTGCTGTAATGAACTATAAATATTTAAAATGCTCTATGTCCATCATCAAACTATTCTATTTTATGATGCAAGCAGGAACATGGGAATGGGATTTTCCAATGATGGGAAATATGAAGTTGGGATAATCTGTTTAATCAAAAAGTCTTCAACAAAAGCCACTTGAATTTTATGTTCTTCAAGACAACTGCAAGAAGTTTTCCATCTGCAAAAAATAAATAAATAAAAAAGTAGAATAATAGAACAGAACAGAATAGAATAACAGCATTGGAAGGGACTTTGTAGGTCATCTAGTCCAACCTCCTGCTCAAGCAGGAGAACCTATACCATTTCTGACAGATGGCTGTCCAGTCTCTTCTTGAAAACTTCCAGTGATGAAGCACCCATAACTTATGAAGGCAAGGTATTTCATTGGTTAATTATTCTCACTGTCAGAAAATTTCTCCTTATTTCTAAGTTGAATCTCCCCTTGATCAGTTTTCATCCATTATTCCTTGTCTGGCCTTCAGGTGCTTTGGAAAATAGGTTGACCACCCCTCCTCTCTGCGACAGCCCCTCAAATATTGGAAGACTGCTATCATGTCACCTCTGGTCTTTGCCTTCACTAGACTAGCCATGCCCAGTTCCTGCAACCATTGTTCATATGTTTTAGCCTCCAGTCCCCTAATCATCTTTGTTGCTCTTCTCTGCGCTCTTTCTAGGGTCTCAACATCTTTTTTTTTTTATCTTGAAACAAAATGTTTCTGACATTTCCCATATCTCTGGGAGAATTATTTGTATTAAGAAATTAATCAATATCTAGTCTGTACAACTCCAAGAAAAATTGCACGAAGGGATTTTTCTTTTCTTACGTGACACATCCAAGCAAATATTGGGAAGAAAAGCTAAAAGGAGTTTTCTATACAGATATAAATACCTTAGAAATCCGTGATGATCTCTGCCCATTATTTTGAAAGCCTAATGCACAACTTTTATCCTTGATACATTGATAGGACACAATAAAAGCTTTTGCCCATTTTCTAACAAATAGTTTTCTCTCTCCCGCTGATTGCTTTTAAGGTCCATTTTGTGAAGAGACCATGAAACCGTGTAGTTCTCAGCCATGCCAGAATGAAGCTGTATGCTACAACAATCCTTCCGGGTACAGTTGTGCCTGTCCTCCCGGATTCCTTGGGCCCAATTGTGAAACTGATATAAATGAGTGCTTTTCTGGACCATGCCAGAATGGAGGCATATGTCACGATCGGCCAAATGTGAGTATAATTTCTATATAATGGATAAGGGTGTGCCGGGGGGGGGAGTTTGGCAAAATATCTTTTCAGTTAGTCCTCAACTTACAACCATAATTGGGACCAGACTTTCCATTGCTAAACAGTGGTTGCTAAATGAGTCATACCCAGTGGTGGGTTGCTACCGGTTTGCCCTGGTTCAGGCGAACCGGTAGCAGCGGTGGCAGGAGACTCCGCCCACCCACCTGGACGTCATTAAATATGATCTGCGCATGTGCATAAGCTTCTGTGCATGTGCAGAAATGTTGCGCGCACGAACCGGTAGCAAAGGTAAGTGAAACCCACTCCTTGTCTGAACATTTTGTGTCACTTGTTATGCAACCCACTGCAGTTATTAAGTGAATCTCTGGCTTCTCCCATTGACTTTGCTTCTTGAAAGCTGACTGGTGATCCCATAACCCTGGGACACTGCACCCATTGTAAACACATGCTAGTTGCCAAGCACCCACAGAGTAACAGAGTTGGAAGGGACCTTGGAGGTCTTCTAATCCAACCCCCTGCTCAAGTAGGGAACTCTATACCACGGGTGTCAAACTCGCTGTGTCACATTGCCATCATGTGACATTTCGTGACTTTTTCCCATTCGCGGAGCTGGGGTGGGTGTGGCTTGTGCATGATGCATCCAGCCCACAGCCACCAGTTTGACACCTCTGCTCTATACTATTTCAGATTCAAACTGATTGTGGGAAATACTATGATAGTCATAAGCACAAGGAACTTTATGTTACTTTTTTTTAATGCTGCTATAACTTTGAATAGTTACTACATGAGTGGTTGTAATTCAAAGACTACCTGTATTAGCATCTAGGGGACATTGACATTTATCCCATAAGATAGTAAAACGTGCTTCTGCAATCTCCCTTTGCATTCCCATTCTTCTCCTTATTTCATTTAATCATCTAAATTATTATTATTATTTCGCTTCAATCATGAAAAATCACAGCAACAACAAATTTACCAGTCTGTGATACTTTTTTTTTTACTCTTTATTAGTTATTGATTGCTCCCACAAATGGATTGTTTTTTAAAGTAACAAATATAAATTGAAGAGGGGGGGGAAACAGATAATAAAAGCATTGTCCGGTGCAAATAACTAGGAACTTCACTGAGTTCAAAGCACGGAAGATTTTATTACTGCTACCTATAAACAAGAATCAAGTCAACTAGCGGTCAAAGGTAAATTGGCGCTTGATAAAGATAAACAGCCCAGAGTTGTTTTGATATGAAATGGGTGGCACCAGAGCCTGGTGGCTCAGCAGACTAAAAGCATTGTGATTAACACCAGCTGTCTGCAATTACTGTAAGTTCGAATCTCACCAGGCTCAAGGTTGACTCAGCCTTCCATCCTTTCTAAGGTAGGTAAAATGAGGACCCAGATTATGGGGGTAATAAGCTGATTTTGTATAAATATACAAAAGTATGAAGGCTATTGCTTAACGCATTGTAAGCCGCCCTGAGTCTCCGGAGAAGGGTGGCATATAAATCAAATTAAAATAAAAAATAAATAAATTTAATAAATAAATAAAGTAAACAGAATTTACAGTGGGTTATATTTGGTTCTCTTGGGACAATGCAAAGACTCCAAACAGATGGCACATTTAACTCTGCCTTCCAGTTCAGCCAGCTCTTCTCGTAAAAGTATATTTTCAAAGGGTTTCTTTCTTTCATTGTGAATTTGATTTCTACATTTCAAAATATTGAAATGACGTAGAAGCAAACGTATTAAAATCAATTGGTAAAGTCCCAAGCACTCAAAAGAAGGAACTAGAGACTAAATTGGGCTAAAGGAAATTTTGAAGATTTGAAGAGTAGAATTCAATGGCTTTGTATAAATATTTCTCTTTCAGGTACTATCTTGAATTGAGAATTGTGTTAGCAAAATAAGAGGTGAACCATCTGGCCCATATATTAATCCAGGAAATAGGAAGCAAAATGGAATGAAGTTCTCCCCCATTCCTAGCTCCTACTTGCTATTTTCCTAACAATCAATTTAAGGAAAAGGCCTATAAACCTTTGACTCAAAATATGATTCAATTCCACAAAGCTTCTTTACATTTATATGTGGTAGTTAGAACAACAGAACTGTATGTTGTTTATTCAGAAATATGTCCTGATATATTTAGAGGCAAGAATTCTTGGCATGGCCACCCCAAATTTTTAATCACCTTTGAGTATATAATCTCTATGCTTATGATATTAACTGTTTATTTTCCAGATGGGTATTCAAGATAGAGCATGCCCCCTAAATGATGTAACAATAAAATGCAAAAACAACATTTAACAGAATAACGGAGTGGGAAGGGACATTGAAGGTCATCACTTGAGATTTCCAAGAAAAGATTGGACTGTCATTTGTCAGAAATGGTGTAGGGTCTCCTGCTTGAGCAGGAGGTTGGACTAGATGACCTATAAGGTCCCTTCCAACTCTGTTAATCTGTTAGTCCAACCTCCTGCTAAGGAGGAGACTCTATACCAAACTCTTCTTAAAAGCCTCCAGTGATGGAGCACCCACAATTTATAGCTTCTGGAAGCAGCTCGTTCCACTGATTAATAATTGTTTATTTCACATATATAAAACCTCAAAAAAGCAGCATCAACAAAAGCTTTTTTAAAAAAAAAAGAGAGAGAGAGAATAACAGGAAATAAACAGAAAGAAACTATTAGGATAGCCAAACCTGAAATGGAGTATATTGTTCCTAAGGTGAAATCCCTGTATAGACCGGGGAAATGTTGAATTTCAAAATGCTTCCATTGCAAATAAGTTTTTTCTTGGTGCCACAATTCTCAAATAATCAGGCAAACAATAAAACAAAAAGTTTATTCTGAGTGCATTCCCTGAAGTATTTTATGATCCTTGGAAAAAAACGCAATTTAAATGTTCTCCTTAGGCCAGTTTATTGGATTTACAAAGGAGATTAAAATTACCTCTTTAAAACAGTATGAAGGTAGAGCAAATCCTTTGTGGCCCCTTTCCTTGTAGTTCTTCAGTGAAAAGAAGAGAAATGTTTTTATGGACCTAAGTATTCTCTTTTCATCGAGTGAAGGAGGGAGATTTCATCCCTCCAGAAAGTCTAATTTAGAGCTATTTTTGCATGTTTTACATGGTGGGTTTTCTTATTGTTACAGAATAGAAATTTAGTACAAGGAAGGGCAGTGTATCCAATGATAGAAATGTGTACTGGGATTCATTTTCCTCATTCCTGCCTTAGAAAGTGGCGGGATTGCTTTTTTTGACAGTTGTTCAATTATTTTCTTTTAGACAGAAATCCACTTAAAGCTCTATGTTTTTTTTTTTGTGTGTGAAAAAATATTTAAAATATTTTGCTGACAAAATATGAATATTGAAATGCAGTTTGAAACTATTTTTCCTCTAAATAAAGAATCTCTGTTAAGTAATGCAAAATAGCTTAATGGTCACCTGTAATTAATTGCTGTCTTGAGAAGTCCGTTTATTATTGGAATTTTCAAAGGTCGAATTGTTCAAACATCTCTAAAATTAGCGCTAAAGCATTCATTGAGTTAGATGAGAGCAGAAATATGTTTTTGCATTAAAAAAAAAACACCAAGTACATCTGGCCAATCTTGAATTGCCGGTTTGTAATAACGGTGTTAGACCCATGACCTGTTCATGTTGATTCTTTACTATTCTGCATTTATGATGTCGTAAATTGCCCAGAGTCACTTGACAGTGAGATGGGCAACATATAAATTTAATAAATAAATAATAACTAAATAACTATGAAAAAGCTTTCCCCCCCCCCTTTTTAATTATCATGCACCTATTTTTCCTCCCTTTTCTTGGATACCTTATTTAAGGAAGTAGATTTCAACTAATACCAACTAACAGTCAGAAGACATAATGAAAACTGCACAACAAACCAACAGACTTTACCATAGTTTCAAAAGGGAGATGGTGAGCATCCTTGATGAAGATAAATCCAAAAAAATAGAGATTTCCTGGAAGCCTGGTGTTGAGTCCTCGCAGATACGACACCAGCAGAGTCTGCTTGTTGCTGCCCTCCCGCGATTGGCTAAGACGCTCTAGGCTGCCAAGCGGGAAAAGCGCGCCTCCATGATTGGACGTTCTGTCTGACAGCTTGCTATTTAAGCAGCTGTCAGGCAGCTTGTCGTTCGTTCTGAGGCATCATTGTGCCAGGTGTTGTTAGTTGTCTTAAATAAAGTTGGTTAGCCTAGCCTTGTATCCATGCCTTTGTTCTACAAATAGAGCACCTGGCATTCAGACAAATAAGCCATCGATGAGCACATAGACATAAAGAACATATACATCCCATTCGAAAGTGACAGTTAAAAAGCTAAAAGATGACAACACCTCCTAACCAGCAATCAGCCCTCAGCTAAGCAGAAATTAACTCCAAGCAATAAACAATGGAAATAACAACTCAGTAAACAATAGCCTAATCAAGGAATTGCCAAGAACACTCACCAACATTGGCAGGGCAAACCACTATTTATAAACAGAAAACCGATCTCACTTCCTTTTAGTACTGATGATGGTACCTAGTTGGGTAAGAAAACAACCAAGATCAGAGAGTACCAAGGACTCCACAAAAGTAGGTTTGGGATTAGTTTTTTTCTAGAAATTTTCTAGAAATCTTTCTTTAGTATATTACAGAACATACGATGGACATTTAAGAACCATCCTTCATTTTGGATTTTTTTGCAAATACGATTTAAGAAGTCTTTTTCTTTTGCAGGATGCGTCATGTACCTGCTTGCCAATGTTCACAGGTAAATTCTGTGAAAAGTCGGTGACCCTTTGTGAACCTTCTCCCTGCCTAAATAATGGCAGTTGCATAGATGAGGTGGAGAGCTATCACTGCAGGTAACAACTTTTTCAATATTTTCTAGTTTACATTTCATCTGGATTTTAGGGGGGGAAATTGCAATAAAATAAGGATGATTTTATTAGTCCTGCCTGTATTCGGTTGGAGAAGTTCTATAAAAAGGCAACTTTTGTTTTCAATAGCCAGGAGACGGAAAGCAGGAGACTAAAAAGTAAAGACTGGAAGGGATTTTACACTATTTCATCATGAATTCTCTAAGATAAAATATATACTTCTCTAACTTGAGATGAAATTTAAATAAGTTGGAAAGGCAGATCCCCTGCTCAGTGCATGTATAACATCATGTTTGGGAAAAGAAAAATGTAGATACTCATTCTTAATTCATAGACTTCTGATAATAATTCACAATGCAGCTCATCAATCTGCATGTTGGAAATAGATCAGTGCTTTTCTACAAACTACAGAAGAGGACCAGGTACACGGATTGCTAATTCTAGCCCATTTTTATATAGATTTATAGATCTTTTCCTCAGACCATTAAGATGTAAAATTTGTAGTCTTCACACTTGCTTAGCTTTTATTTGGATGCCTTAGAGAAGGTTCTATCATGCATTTTTAAAATGTAGTAAACAAACACAACTTTTTAGAGTATCCGTAAAAATAGAATATTAAAATCTCTGCTAGGTAAAAGGATGGTAATCCACTGGGATTCCTAAGAAACTTGATGATGATGTCAGATGCAACACCAAATTCTGCAGGGAATGTCAAGTTGAAAAGGAAATTTACACATAGAGACATATCAGGGGAGGTCTCCTCCTCCTCTTTAAATGAGATAGACATCATGAAGTATCTAAACATTTTTAATGGAATATTAACCAAATAGGAATACAAAGTGTAACTAGATGGTGTATTTTTCTGTGCCTGCATTTATTGGGGAAATCCAAGTGCAAGTATAGAAAAGAAGATTGAAATTGGTTAATTACAAATCCTTCCTGCTGCTACTAATTCTTCCCATTGTATCCTGCTATTTTTCAGGAATTGGTGGACAGCATTAGAAAAAAATATTCAAAGGTATAGTTTAAAACAATGCATGTATTTCTCATTTCTGATCCCATCCTTAACATATTCTCTTTAAGGACATTTTATATGTTTTGTTGGCTTCATCATTTCAGTAATGACATTTGGAATGAATACTATGAAGGAAAAAAAATCCTTGCTTTTGTTTTAAAAACCAGTCCTTATTTGATTTGATGAAAAAAAAAATTGCATCCCAAAGTGATTTGGGAACATGTGACACCTGACTGATATAAGTATAAACATGGACATGAACACAGGAAATGTGTACAAATAAGTAGGGACAGTAGGACAGGGACGGTAGGCACGCTGGTGCGTTTATGCATGGCCCCTTACAGACCTCTTAGGAATGGGGTGAGGTCCATGGTAGACAGTTTAAGGTTGAAGGTGTGAGGGTTTGAGGATGTAACAATTAACAACTCTTAATGCCTTTTTGGCACTGCTGTTACAGTGAGCTCTGGGGCTTAGATCATTTGAAATGAGTACTCCTAGGTCATTGACAGAGTGAGAGTCATATCCACCCAGCTTGTATTTGATGTTCTGATTTTTGTTGCCAATGTGTAAGACAGAGCATTCAGATTGTGTTTTAAACAGTCTAAGGATCCTATCATTCTGGGGATGATTTTGTAAAGAAGCACAGAGATGGAGAAATTATGCAGCAAGAGGGGGGAGTATAAAAAAGGAACTCAATCTGTGTCACCCCCCAACTTCCTGGAATGTAACAGGGAGGTAAGGGAACATACAATCAAACATGCAGAATCTTTTCCTGACCTGGACTCCATTAAAGGGCTAACCAATTTTTATTTTTTATTTTTTTGGATAAAAATCTCTTTTATTCTAGCAGTTTGTGAGCCATGGGTTATTGGAATCTACTCAATCCTACTGTATAGGAGTGATTGCATTAGTTCCAATTAGTGTACACTGAGGATGTGAACAATATTTTAGGTGCTTTGTTCCACTACCTTGGCTTTGCAATCTGGCTCATTTTTTTGCTTGTAACCTCTACTGTAGCTAAGACATACCTTAGTTCAGGCCTGTCAAACTGGTGACCCGTGGGCCAGATATGTCACATGCAGGCCACGCCCACCATGGCTCCTCAAAAGCAAAAAGAAGTTGTGATATGTCATGATCCGGCCTGTGATGTAATTGAGTTTGACACCTCTGCCTTAGTTGATGAGTTATGCCATGGCATCATTTGTTTCAGATGCAAATCCACTCTAAGAGCTTTAAAAACAATCCTTGTATCCTTACTATGTATTGATTTTCCCTACATGTCAAGCATATTGAGTTCAGCATGAACCTGGGGCGCTGATGTTATTGAGTTGGTTTGTAGTATGTCGCGAGAGCCAATTGTTAAATTTGGGGGAAGTTTACAAGCAATGGCAGTGCTGAACAGTGATGTCTACATGCCAATCAGTTCTGTGGTAGCAGTAATGGAACCAGAAGAGCTGGTTCTTACATTTTTACCAGCCACCACTGGCCTTGATAGCATTGTTAGTAAATCATTTGTCAGTCCAAAGTGGCCTACAAATAAATTCTGAGGATGCCAGATAATCAGTGTATCCTGTCTTTCCTCTGCATTGCCAATAGTGTTTTTTCACAAGGCAACTGAACTTCCTTTATTTTTCCTTGAAGACATTTCAGGGGTGGGTTCTACTTACCTTTATTACCGGTTCACAATGGGGCCGTGCGCATGCTCTTCTGCGCAAGCGCAGAAGCTTCTGTGCATGCACAGAAGCATTCTGATGATGTTGGGGTTGGTGGGCGAAGCCTCCCGCTGGTTTTACTACCGGTTCTATAGAACTGGTGTGAACCGGGGGCAACCCACCACTGAGACATTTTGCTTCTCATCCAAGAAGTCTCTTCAGTTCTGACTTCTTGAATGAGAAGTGAAACATCTTCAAGGAAAAACAAAGGAAGTCCAGTTACCTTGGAACAACCATGACTATTTCAATTTCAAACCTTTATTGTCAATGCACAACATGTGTACAATGAGATTGGCTGAGCCTCCCTTAGTGCCCCCCCAATACAATACATCTCAATAGCTCACAGTGAAGAAAGAAAATCCCTAACCAGGGGGGGGTTCTACTTACCTTTACTACCGGTTTGCAACAGGAGAGTATGTGCTCGCTTCACTCATATGCACATGCACGCTTCTGTGCATGCGCAGATCATCAATTATAGTGTCCGGGCGGGTGGGCAGAGCCTCCCGCTGTTTTTACTACCAGTTCTAAAGAACCGGACAGAACCAGGAGCAACCCACCACTGTCCCTAACCCAGTAAATCATACTAACAAACACACAATCCTCTATACATATACTGTATGTGCATAATATTACATCAAGGGTGAAATCCAGCAGGTTCTAACAGGTTCTGGAGAACTGGCAACAGAAATTTTGAGTAGTTCAGAGAACCAGCAAATACCACCTCTGGCTGGCCCCAGAGTGGGGTGGGAATGGAGATTCTGCAATATCCTTCCCCTGGAGTGGGGTGGGAATGGAGATTTTGCAATATCCTTCCCCTGCCAACCAAGCCACCTCCACAGAACTGGGAGGGAAAAAATGCATTACATTATAATATATTGCGCCAATATGAGCATGTTACATGTTGTGCCGGCACTGCAAGTCTATCATACTACATACTTATGATGTTATGTGGCATTCAGGAGTCTGACAGACTACAGATAAAAGCTGTTTTTCAACCTGTTCGTATGACTGGCTATGCTGCTATATCTCCTGCCCGATGGTAGGAGAGTAAAGAGGTGCTGACCAGGGTGTGAGTTGACTGACCAGGGTGTGAGCTGACTGAGTAGGATGACTGAGAATCTTCATTGACACCTCCAGATTGCCAGTTACAGACTTTCAATTCCTCCAAGAACTTCTAGAACTCTGTTAAAAAAAACACCACCACCACCAAAAAGGTTTCAGGTCAACACGGCACAATTTTAAGAAATCCTGTGGATATATCTTAGCAGGCCAAAAAGTTGCATTCTAGAGCTTTTGCTATAACATATTGAATAAAGAGGAGCTGCAGATACCGCTTCTCAGCCTTTTGATTAATATCAAATGGTGTGTGTGTGGGGGGGGGGGGGGTCAGGGAGCTATTCTCAGTCTGTCCAGTGAGAAAGAAAATGCCCACAGATAGACTAACCTCATCTGAATGCAAAATTCTATATCGGGTTTTTGGAAACTTGTAAGCAACAAGAAGTTTTTGAAATTTAAAAACAAATAAGGGGTGATTTGTTGTTGGCATCAGTGATTATTGGGAATGCCTATTATAACAGGCCATAAAGGACGTGGGAGGTAGGATGACTTCTTGTTTAATGAGGCAATTATTAGATTTCCAAAGAAAGGCCAATCTCAAACCTTCCATGTTGGGTAAAGAGATAGATAGATAGATAGATAGATAGATAGATAGATAGATAGATAGATAGATAGATAGAGATAGATAAAGATAGAGAGGTCCAGCCGCACCGAATCTGACCGGACACTGGTGAGGTCTTATATCAAGACCTACCTAATGGCGATAAGAGTGGCAAAATCCAACCATTTTTCCACTCTTATTGCATCTACAGAGAACCACCCAGCTGCCCTGTTTAGGGTGACCCGCTCTCTCCTACGGGTGGGAGCAAGGGAGGATCCCTTGCAGGGTAGAGCTGAGGATTTTGGACAATTCCTGCATGATAAAATTGCTCAGATTCGGACCAGCCTGGACTCCGATTGGATAGCCTCGGACGGGATGATGGAGGTGAGTCTTGAGAGTGTCACCTGGGAAGAGTCTGACCATGTGACTCCTGAGGACGTGGACAGGATTTTGGGGAGGCTTAACGCTACCACATGTTTACTGGACCCGTGTCCCTCCTGGTTGGTGTTGGCCTCCCGGAAGGTTACACAAGGCTGGTTTCAGGAGAATACCAATGCTTCATTGAGTGAGGGTGTCTTCCCATCTGCCCTGAAAGAGACGGTGGTGAGGCCTCTCCTCAAGAAGTCTTCCCTGGACCTGGCTGTATTAGCTAACTATCATCCTGTCTCCAACCTCTGCTTCGCAGCAAAGATTGTTGAGAGTGTAGTGGCGGGACAACTTCCTCGATTCCTGGATGAAGCTGTCTATCTAGATCCATGCCAGTCGGGCTTCAGGGCGGGTTACAGCACGGAAACGGCATTGATCGCATTGGTTGATGATCTCTGGAGGGCCCGGGACAGGGATTGCTCCTCTGTCCTGGTCCTCCTAGATCTCTCAGCGGCTTTTGATACCATCGATCATGGTATCATGCTGCGTCGGCTAGAGGGGGTGGGAGTGGGGGACACCGTGCTACGGTGGTTCTCCTCCTTCCTCTCTGACCGTACGCAGTTTGTGTTGACGAGGGGCAGAGGTCGACCTCAAGGTTCCTCACTTGTGGGGTGCTGCAAGGGTCGATCCTCTCGCCCCTTCTGTTCAACATTTATGTGAAGCCGCTGGGTGAGATCATCCGTAGCTTTGGGGTGAAGTGTTAACTATATGCCAATGACACGCAGTTGTACATTTCAACCCCAGGCCACCCCAATGATGCCCTTGATGTGATGTCCCGCTGCCTGGAGGCCGTGCAGATCTGGATGGGGAGGAACAGGCTCAGACTCAACCCCTCCAAGACTGAGTGGCTCCTGCGGCCCGATATATGGCATCTCTGACAGCTGAAAGATTCAGCTTCCTGTTTAGGGTTGAGATAATTGGTTTCATAACTTTGAATGACTTTTCTTCTTTGGGTTTTAAAGACTAATTTAGAGCAGAAGAAGGAAGAAATCTTTTTCAGATTGAAGAAGCCTACCCATTTCTGAAAAGGATGGCTGAAGTGCTCTTGTTGCTACTTCAAGCCTTCTTAAAGAGGATTTAAAAGCCAGGAAGTTGCTCCAGTGTCATTTATTTTTTGCTTAAATATACCTTTCCAGAATCATATCATTTTGCATTGCATTTCTTTCTGATTTGATCTGGAATAGACTAGGATATAAAATAACCCTTTT